GGTGGGAAGAGCTACTACAATTTAAAGAATTTAACACACCTCAAGGCCTACAATACTAATTAAAACTTAATGATGAGCAACTTAAACCAATGATAAAACAGAAGGAGAGCATTATTGGATTCAAATTAAGGATTTTTGAGTTTGCGTCAGAGAAGGACAAATATTTTCTAGGTAATTTTTCCAATATACAAGTATCAACAATTCAAAAAACATAGCAACATAGACATTTGTGACATTGTGACAAAATGAAACTTTCTGATTGACAAGTCAGGTCAATAATTTGTTTTCCAACACTGCTGTCGGCTTGGTTTTCTTTTTCTCAGATCACTCCTTCTTACGCAGGTGAATGTATATGACGCCGCTGCACAGCAACAAAGGGACACACACCCAGGCCAGGATGAAGCAGTAGCCAAAGTGTCCAGAGGTCAGCTCTTTGGAGCTGGAGAGGATTTCCTTATTATGTAGTGTGTAGATGAGAGCTGCAGAGAAGGCTGTCAGACCTGGGAGGAGGGTGGAGAAAAGGTTTTGAGTTGTCGTGTTGTGGAGATAGTGTTACTTATTTAATATAAACATTCAATCACCACAGGTATGTCAGAGTTACCATAACAGAATGGGCATCAGAATCAGATGTGTACCTATCCCACAATATTAGACATATTTGCACCACTTCAACCAGAATTTAGATTTGGAGCCACAGCACATTATACCGTGTTTTGGTTATAATATGAATGATCATACTTTTATAAGTAGCCTATGTTAGGGATAGAAAACTGGCCCTGCAAGAAACAACACTTTATTTTACCCACACCAGACTCTGATACCAACAACGTCTTGTTCTTGAGAAATACGAAGAGCAACATTTTCTCTTCTGCTGTTCCTGACATACAGAAAATCCTGTTTGTAAACTTTCACCAGATATAATTCAGTTGCCTCCGTCTTCAGTTTTTTAAGAGCGGGCCTCTGCCTTTCCAAATGTTCTCATCATAGCCACACATATCAGCAGCACATTGTCTCATTCCACTGTTACCTGCAAATACTTGACACAGCCCGGTGAAATAGAAGAGTCCGCCCTTAGACATGGTGAACAGCTGACCCAGGAACACCAAGAAGGAGATAGAAGAGAAGACCACTGACAGAACCATGAGGACCTGCACTGCCTGGAGCCACTCTGAGAAAATGACAACATCACCAAAGCTTCAAAGAAAAGCTTAACTCTCAAATTTGACCTTTTCACAGAGGCCTGAAAAAAATGAAACTGCTGTTTACCAGATTCTTTGGAGGATGCACAAAGCCAGGTTCCAGTGAAGTTGTCGAACCTACAGTTGTACCACAGATCTGAGTTCTCCATGCCGTCCCACACCCACCAGGACTTAAACAAAGAGAGAGCAGACATGACCCACACGGCTGCATATGTCGCACTTATGACATCATAATAACAAGTGGCTAAGCTCGTGCCCGGAATGTGATGATTACCTTCTCCATGGTTGCTATGAACAGCATGGCCAGGGTGATGAGATGGAGCAGGGTCACAAACATCAGCAGATAAGCCATTTTCTGCTTAGAAACAAATGAAAACAAGTTAAATATGGGTTCAAACTACATCCAGCTTCTAAGACTGAAATAGTGTGTGACTGGTTTTACACATTAACCACTTCCACAGGGAAAATCACTGTTGGGTCACTTTTCTGTTTTGCCTTGAAACACAACATGGAAAATGTGACCCGAGCTGAACACAGTATACTCTGTGTTGCATAAGACCGTACTTCCAAAACAGTATGGTTAATTTTAAAACTTCTCTGTGACTGTGCTTGTGCGTCGCCACCATGAAAGCAAACCTGCAGAGAAACTGGGCGGGCCAAAAGAGATCGAAAATCTAAACGGTGCCAAAATATTTACTCAATTAAACTCCTCTGAATGGTCGTGTTTGAGTCTGGAGTTCATCGTACATTTGGATTTCATTAGGGCTGCTCCACTTGTAAACTTGCAGAGGAAATTAAAGTCTGACGGAGAAGCCTCTAAATCTCAATCTTACGCCGCGCACACAGAAATAAAAGCACAACAAACAAGTTAGTCTCCCAAAAAGGAGTCGTACTGTGAAAAGGAGAAGATATAGAAGTAAAGAAATAAGTAGAATGTAATAGACCATGAAGATCTTTATCTGTAGGAGAGGTCCATTTGGGTGGGTGTGTGGAGTCACTGTCAAATTATGTCAGAGGAGTTCATCCATCACATCAAAATAAATCAATTATTCAGTAAATGGAGCTGGATCTGAAAGAATAATTTGAGTGTAAAGAATGAATCAATCAATACACACATCACAAATATACGATAACATTGTGTTGTTTCTCGGTTGGTAAAATAAGACTTAATCATTTTCGGGAAAACAAGATCTGTGGTGATAAAAACTGCATCTTTTGATGGCAGGATTTTTTGCCCATTTCATTTAGAGTGTTTCTTATAAGGATATGTGATACAGAGACACTACCTTTTTTAATACATATACAGTATCCTCTTGTCACTTTTGTTTTGTACTTGCGTCTTCTAATGTATATATATTGTATCTTTTTACATTGAGCTCTTTTACCTTAATGAATTTTACTTTTCTCTCTTTTCTTACTTATACTCCCCATATGACATTGCTCTTTTTGCATTGCTGAACTTTTCATTGTGCCTTGACCCTGTGTTAATCTACATATAGGACAAATAAAACTTGAATTTAGATGTTATCTACTCCAACACATGATTTAACAAGACTAATTTCAAAATTCTATAAAAAGTCAAGGAACTATCTACTCACCACAGGTATCGTCTGTTCCTCTGAATGAGACCTCTTATGAGTGGTTTCACTACTCTACAACGTTTGTGTCCCTCTGTGGTCCTCTCCCGTCTGGCCTTGCCACACCCCCTCTATTTTTTCAATCACTCCATCCAAACTTTCCAAGGAGAACGCCCATTTCCTCTGTGCAGAACAGAGCTCCCTCTTAGTCCCTCGGAACAACATCACCATCCAAAAAAGACTGAAATGAGAGACCCACCCATGGGCAGCAGAGGCACATAAAACCCACATGAAAAGACCTCCTCTGTAAACAGCCTGCCTGAACTGCCCTTTGGTATAATGAGCATACACTAACCTTACCTCATTACATTCATTATCTGACTCTTCATGGGTAGAGATGAAAACTTATCACGTAGCTGCAACATAGCTCACATTTCTACACTGGGACATGATGAGTAATCAGAGTACACTGGTCACTATGAAAACATCTGGGCGGGACACAGCATGCACATGTTGTAGGTTCAGTGGAGGCAACAGGAAAACAGCAAATGACCAAGTTTTAAAACACCAATTTTACACAGGGCACTGATTGTAAAGCATATTTCACCATATTGAACTCCAAAATGTTTGTATTTTTATTTTTTAAACCAAATTTACTAAAATATCTGTGAACTTTTATGTAAAAAAAATCATACAAAGATGACGTCAGTGTTAAATATAAATATTTAATTTCAACCTTAATTTTAAATGTTAAAGTTAAATGTAAATGTTAGATCTAAATGTTAATATTAAAACTAATGATCAAATGTTAATCCTAAACATTAAATCCAAATCTAAATATTCAATCTTAATCTTGATGTTAAATCTATATGGTAAATCTGATAAGTGTTTTACATTTCCATAAAACAAACAGCAATGTACGATTATTCTTGTATTTGAAACCATGTATAATAATGTGCATATTTCTTCATATTACATTTCATGTTATAATTTATATTTTAGATTATCATATGAATGAGATAAAATAATGGCAAAATTATGTGAAATTATAAAACAATATTTAACTTCACAGGAAAAAAAGTTTTTTATTGTGTGCACTCTAGACCTGCAACCACAATACATGTATACAAACACTGTCCTATATTTTAGAGTACAAGCTGTTTACCAAGGACAATTTTGACAAATGATTATTTCCCATAAACTTTTTACAGGCCTACATCAACGGAGCCTGATAATAACCTGGTGACCTGTTAGTTACCAACATTTATTGAAACATATTTTTAAAAAAAACATTTAATTAGTTGAAACTTCCTGGAACGACTGAAGGGTTGCCAGGTCTGCGTAATATAAAAACGTCACTTTCTTAGAATATAGGACAAGATGTTTGCCAGCACATAGTCAATTTGACAATCAATTATGTGTTAAGCACATAAGGAATCATGCAGTAAACATAAGGAATCATACAGTAAACATAAGGAATCATACAGTAAACATAAGGAATCATGCAGTAAACATAAGGAATTATACAGTAAACATAAGGAATCATACATAAGGAATCATATAGTATAAATTCTGAGGGAAATCCGCGGTGGATCTGACAACCCTGAGCACGGCTGTCCCCTGTGTCTCCTCTGAATGGTATGACCCGTTGCCTAGGAACCAGTAGAAGCCAATTCACTCAACCACGCCTGTTCTCGAGCTTTATTTTCTTCCCACCCGAGATGGGCGAAGTCCCGCCTCTGCCCTGCCTCTGATTGGACCAGGATTAGGCACGAAGAGTGGTGATTGGCTACAAACAGGGGGGATATCAGGATAAGCCAATCAGAGGTGAGGTAGGGGCGGCTCTTCGCTCAGCTCGGGTGCGAGTAAATGACACCGTTTCCCAGCGCCTGGTTCTTCATGGCGCTGTTATCGTTTTAAAGGTGAGTCCAACTGTGTCTGCTCACGTTGTGTTGAGCTCCATCACCTCCAGGGAGCCAGCGGTGAGGCTGGAGTCTCTGGGCCCCGCAGAGGAAACCTAACGGCCGCCACCAGACCGAGCTGAGCGCCCACTGGAGAAAGCTATGGCTAGTGTTAGCCCGCTAGCTGAATGTGGAGTGAACCCACAGTAACTTTGGCTCTAACTTTGCTAACTAGCTCCCGCTGCGGCTCGGCACTGTTGTCAGTTATTTACCAGCACGTCAGCATCCAGTGATTTAACAGCACCGTGGTTATAAGCTCCGGGACATCTCTGTGGATTATAATGAGCCTGCGTGGTCAGAAAGGAATGCGAGTAAGTGGCTGTTGTCCGACATAAAAACATTTGCTCCTCCTCGTCAGACATTTTGGGCAGAGAGCTCAGCTTGAATTTAAAGGTCTTTAACCCCCAAGAGGTGAAAGTCCTCGTTTATTGCTAAGAGAAGTAACGGTTGTCTGCACATCGTAAGAAAGCAGAGATGCTTTACTTGCTTTATGCACCAGTTTCAGGAAGACGCCTGCACAGGAGAGGAGCTGTTACTGTCCATCATGTTAATGCTTCATGATAACATTGCTGCAGATAGCGAGTCACCATGAAGCTTTGCATAGCCTCCGATGATGCAGTGTAGCTCATCTGCTCTTCGGGGTGTGTGCACTTGCTTGTGTAAACGGAGAAAGCTTCGGTCTGATCTCAATTCATGTGCCTGCAAGTCCTAACACGACCTGACAGCATTGTTTTAAAGTATGTTATGTTTTACAGGTGAACACGTGGACAGGGGATGTTGTCATGGATGAGCTGCAACAACAATGGGAGTGATGGAGAATGAGGACGTGCTGATCATCTTTGCAAATCGAGTCTGGTTCTGTGCATTACCATGTAGGCTGAGTTGTTTCCACCACTGAGGAAGAAGACCACCACTCACATGCAGCTTTCATAAACCTAACACAGGACCATGGATCATGAAGAGGTAACTTTATTTAAGCTTTAACTTATTTACAGATGTAACTGTTAAGATGCTTTCAACTGCAGTTGATTTTTGAATTAACTTGTGCACACTATTTCAATCCACACAAAGAAGTAACATTGTGTTATTAGTATTATTATTATTGACCTCTTGTTCTCTTATTTAGGTTTTTTTGCTAGGTATGGGGGATATGGCCAACACTGTTGTCAAAATGAAAATTCTCATATCAGTTGATATCAATAACTACTGTGATAAAAATCAAATTTTTCTTTCTTTTAAATTTAAATACTGTATTTTCCCCCTAAGTAAAGGGTGTGGTTTTCAACTCCTTTTTGGGCAGAGAATGACAAACACTTGATAAACAGCAAAACATTTTATAAATCTCAAGTAGATCAGTCATGTGTAATACCTCCTTACTGTTCTTGCGCAATGTATAAGCAATATATTGATATGAATTGGATCTTTGTTATATAGCTATTTCTGAAAATTATACTTCGATAATCATTGATCTTGTTTTGTTGCCTAATCCTAGTTTCATTATTTGACAATGGCAAGAGCACGCACCAGTTTGTGTCATGTTTAAGTACACCAGAACCAGGTGACCTGATCCGAGCTCGAGACAATATGTGGCATGTTGTTGGAGCTGTAATTGCTCCTGGAGTGGTCTAAATGCTCCTTGGTGGGGCCTGCTCAGGTTACTAGCCCTACATGGCACAGTATTGAATTCAGTAACAGGTGTTTAGTGCTGGCATGCCTCACTGATGTTGTGTCCATCTCCTGTGTGTCACTCAAACAGATCAGTTTTCTGCGAGGCTGGCAGCCTTGATGTTGAACACTTCTGTCGATGCTATAGTTTGCAGGATAGTTCTTTCATTGTTCAACAAAAGAAAGAAACAAATGTACAAAAAAACATTTTGTTTATGTTGCAGGTGTAATAGCGTGACATATTTGAACTAGAGTAGCACTCTGTGGCTCAACAGTCCCTTTTTAAATTCATTCAAGCTACACCAAATTTCAGATACTCATATATGGACCATATTTTTTTCCATCAGGATCTATGAATTATTTTAGGGAAAACTGTGAAAGTGTAGGAAAACACTTAAATCCTGGATCCACCCCAGATATGGATCTGCACCAAAATTGAGTGGGTTCTTCCCTGACCCATACCAAACACAGAGGAGGGAAAACATAACCTCTGGCTTGGTGGTGGGAAAAACAAGCCTCTAGAAGAGTATGGAATTTTGTCGATAACTGAAGCAAGAGCTGAATAATCACTGTGCTATATAGTCAAAGCTTTACAGAATAACAACAAGCAGCATGTCCAAGGCTACTCTTTTACAAGTTTAGTTTGTTGGTATTTCACCTCACAAGCTGCCACTTAGTTCTAGAGCTCAACATTGTCCTGATCAACATGATATCAGGTCCCATAACATTCACCCCCTCCTCTGGGTCCTCAGCCGCAGACGGAGCTGGACAAGATATCTCTGCGGCTTCAGGAGGATGGCTTGCCTCCGGCAGCCAGTGCGGAGGAGCGGCAGCGCCATCTTTGGCAGCAGCTGCTCCGAGGTGAGGCGAAGCTCCGGTCAGTCACACAGGAGCTGCAGACCTTACGTACCCAGCAGGCCAATGAGATGAAGGAGGTGAGACACTTCAGTTACAGACCCCTTGACCTAATTTGTATGATTTAAGTTTCCCAACTGTCCAGTCTGACAAAGTATGCCCACATATTCCTTATTGAAATCTAACTGCTATAGTTAATGACTGGACTACTTTTAAAATACTCTTATTGTTCTTTGAACTGAAGTCACTGATTCAATATTTTGTTATTTCTTACTGTTCGTCAGGTGGAGAGCTACGTTGCACATATTCGTGGTCTGTTGGAAGAGCGCGAGTGTCTGACTGCAGACTACGAAAGAGACAATGAACACTTGCGACAGGAGCTTCACCAGATCAGACAGCAACAAGGTGAAATCAGAGCAGCTGAAGTTGCCATTCTTTGCTTTGGGTTGAAGCATTGCTGGGATCTCCAGAGCTTCTCAGCAGGATATTCTAAAAAGCAGATTTTTATAAGCCATGAATGCTCCGATATCATCTGTGAGATAGAGTTTCCAGCTAATTAGTTGTTGTTCTGTCTGATCCTAAATGTTTATTCCTCTGGCTGCCGCACCAACAACTGACAAGTGTAAACCTTTACTTCAGAGAGTCAGACCAAAGAGCTGGCGGAGATGCTGGCTCAAGAGGACCTAGTGGAGATAGGCTTGAGCAGCCCCAGTGAGCAGGTTGCTTACTTGCTGGTGGAGAGGGCCACGCTGCTGGAAAGGTTGGAGGCATCTGAGAGGAGACTGGAAAGTCAGAGCTTCAGTGGAAACTCAATGGATGGCCACCACCAGGTAAAGGACTGTCCTACATCATCAGGGGACTGTTCAACTTCCTCATGATATGTTATTCATCGAAGGCTATCACATATAACCACTTGGAAATATTTTAATAATTTATATAGTATGAAAAGTTCTTTTTCACCATCACTGTCTTCAATCATAGAACATTTTCATACTGCATGGCTAACTATCTCAGGCAAATCCTGAGGCCTTGTAAACATGGTAAAGTGAGTCTCTGTTTTTCTATGGCACTAGGGACCGGAACATATTCACCACATCATGGGGGAAGAGCTAAGGCAGCGGAGGGAGCATATACAGAAGAGCCTAGACATGACAAAGGTGAGTTGACTCTCACTGTGCTCTTGCTACAAGTCTCTATAACTCCTCAAAATGTTCAGTTTGAATAAAGTGTGTGAAGAAATACTAAGCTTTTTTCCAGTTATTACAAGGATAGTTTGTTAGTTATTTACTGTTTGTTGTGATTCTTCACACACTGGTCTTTCCTCTTAGCAGTGCTCATCCCAGAGTCCGTGGAAGAAGCTGTTTGGGCTGCGTAGGTCTGGTCAGAGCAAGCACAATATTACCCCTGTAGGTTTCCACCTCACAGCGTTTACTAACTCAGTCACTAACACCAATATTGTGATCAAACGAGGGCATCACGGTTTACAACTGGTTTTACTTTTTAAAATTCCACACTGATAATGTGCCTTGATATCTGCACTGCCACCATGATGCAGACAACCTCACTTGTCTCTGTAACATACCTACCAATACAATTTTCTAACAACATATGAATGTATAAAAATGGTGTATAGGCAGAACAGTAATGGCATGTCACAGGTAACAGCATGTGTACTTTTTGTCCCACTGATGAGATTAGACTGTCCACTCACTGCCCTCGCTCCTCTCCAGGCCTGAAGCGATGCTGAATCACCACCTGAAAATGCATGTCTCTCACAACAGCATGGGCCCCTTTTTTTCTCCCAGTATTCTTTCCCGCTTTACTCCTCCCACTACAAACCACCCCTAACTAATTCTTAAACATCAGGCCCACAGTGAGGAGATTTCACAAGAGCGGAATGAGCGCCAGCGGCTGGAGCGGGACCTGGAGGAGGCGTCCAGGAGGCTGGCGATGGCTCATCAAGATATCCGTCGACTCACCAATGAGCTGGATGTCGCCAAAAACAGCAGCGTAGAGTCAAATGGTATGTTACAGACTTAACAGTATTTATCCATGAAAGAACCATGAGTATACTTTTTATTGATGTCTCTTAAGACTGAATACACTTACAGTAAACAATTATCTCTTTATATTATTGCATGTAAGTGGTTAGAAGAAACACACATTATAGCACAGAGTTACTATGAATGTCACACGTGCAGCCCCAGTGTATCCATGTTGTTGCCTCCAACCTTTTAAAATATTTTGATTTCCACATACCGTTGTAAGACTACAGATTTTACAGTAATAGTTATTTTCTAATCTTTCTAATGTTTGTGGAACTGGGGTGTTAATGTAGCCAACTGCAGGAAACGAAAGAACACAGGAGAAGTAAAGTTTTGAAAGACATTGATTAGTAGAGAGCATATTTTCTGCTTCATAGAATTTAAGATTTGCTTATAATCTCAGGGTCTGGGCTTCAGGGAATGGTCCAAGAAGTAGAAAACCTGAGGAGGGAAGTGGACAAACTCAAACACTGTGGTGAGACAGACGTGGGTGTGACGTAAATTACTGCAAGACACACCACCTGAGTAGGAAATTGATTTACTATCACATGTCTCTCCCCATTGGCGATTCTATTCTTCTTCTTCTTCAAAAATATTTCCCCCTGTCTCCTATTTTGTTTTGTCTGAATCTTGGGCTGCATTCAGATCTGATGTTACGTACAACTGTTATGTTACATTCCTAGTTTGGCAACAGATTTGTTTACAACAATGTCACATAATCAGACAGATGTGAGACTCGTCCATTAGAAAGTTGAAATGCATAATGTGTTAAGTTGTTATGACTTTAAATCTCCTGCTTTTAACACTTCCAACATTCTTGACAAATTGACCACGTGCCTTTAACAACCTCTGTGCTCTATATGTGTTTGAGGTGTAAAAAGGCAAAACAAGAAAAACAAAAAGACATTTTTATGTTCAAAAGTTACACACTAACATATATATATATATATATTCATGTTTTGTTCTCCACAGATTTGATGAAGCTGCAGCAAGCAAAGGAGGAATACGACAGACTAGATGCGGAGAACAGAGCTCTGAGGGAGAGAGTGCGCACCATAGAATTCAAGAAGAAAAATCTCCAGGGACAGGTAGATATTGCCTGAATTTATTTACCATAATAAAACGTTTAAAACACAGAGAAGTTGTTGCAGCTGCTTGGTTTTGTTTGTTGTGTTTGTTCAGTTGCCAATAAATGATGCAGACCAAGAATTTGTAGCTGAGGAGGATCGAAAGGACAAGAGCATCAGCATGGAACCACAAAACAATCTGTCAGCCTCATCAGCTCAGGAAAAGGATAATATTCACAAACGGTTAATATATTACATCCTCAACTACTACAAAATATTTAAATTAGATTGTCATCCAGAGTATTCCCACTTCGTCTTTCTTATATCATCATTATTTGCCGATAGGTGTCATGAGGCGATGGAAGATGGGCTCGTGCAGGTCAGAGAGCTGCACCGGCAACTCCAGAAGCTACGCAAGCAACAGGAAGAGCTGGAGGAGAGGAACGAGGAGCTGGAGGCCCTGCTGGGGGAGGCCCAGAATGCCAGCAAGGAGGAGAGTCATCGCCATGAGGCTGAACTGGAGGGGCTGCACAGGAGGGTAATGAGCAGCACTAAATCCTTGCTTAATTTCTTAATGTGACAAAAGATTACTCTCTAATCGCCGAGAAATGATCTGAACTGGTTTAACAGATCAAAAGCCTGGAGGCAGAGCTGAAGAAGCAAGACGCCCATGAAAAGCTGATGAGGAACGGAGATGAGGCCAAAACCACTGAGTCCTACCTACAGCTGGTAAGATTTGTGTTTCCTCTGTGATTATTTCACAGTAGTGATTCCAAAAAGAACAAGTAGAGCTCAACTCCCTCTGTCTGAAGGCTTTTAATGCCAATAGTTAAAATGTAAAATGAAGGAATTGTATGCTATAATCAGCAAAAAAGAAAATACATGTGATTGAGACAGGGAATAGCTCTCTACATAAAAATGAAAGAGGTTATTTATGCATAGTTTTATTCTTGATTAGTGTTGGTTGTCTGCTAACTTTTAGTATTCCAAAACATAACTTGGATTGAAAAAAAAAACTTGTATTCTTCTATATTTTTTTATTTGACTCAGTGTTATCTACTGTGTTTACCTTCCTTATTTGCCATCAATTTATTGGTATTATTCAGTGGTCTTATTCTTTAGACTCTATTGTATCTCACATTTTACTTCCTGGGTTTGATTGCCATCTTATTTTCCATTAATTAATTTATTTTTATAACAGTTTTAATTGTATTTCTTCATGTCCTTTTATGAATATGAATTAAATTCAGTGTTTTAAAGCACTTTGAGCTGCATTTCTTGAATGAAAGACACAAATAAAGTTTATAATTATTATTATTTTTATCATGACTAATACATTACAATTTAAATCTAACTATATAACCTAATCTCTGTTCCTGCCAAACAAAGAAAAATTGAATGTTAACATTTTAATATACTTCATCTTCCATGGCTCAATGCAACCTGTAAATACTTTGCACTCTTCTTTCATGCCGTGTGTGAAGCACTTAAGGGACAGTAGCCAGGAGAGATTGGCTCTGCTTGAGGCACGGCTGACCGAGGAGAAGGACTGGAGGAAACAGTTGGAGTTGGACCTCAGTGCTGCTCAGGCTGCACTCAAGAAAGACAAAGGGGTAAAAACGGAAACACATGTCTGCTGCATTATCTGACAAAAATGAAATAACACAACACCTACACAAGTATGTGAGAAGTCTAGTCCTGATGCACAGTTGTTATTTTGAACCACACAGTTAACTATATGTGATTCCTTCATTCTCTACACCAAAGGCTTTGCAGATAGGTGAGCGAGAGCTGAAGAAGCTGAGACTGGAGGTCAACAGCCTTCAGACCGAATGTCAACAAGGGAAAACGCTCATCAAGAGCCTCACACAAGTCAAAGGGGAAAAAGCAGTTCTGGAAGATAAGGTTCGTTCAATTTACATCACAGGACGTATTATCTCTGAGTAGAAGTAAAAATACAAAAGTATAAAGAATGCACCACTTGAATGTCTATTTAACAAAATAGACAGGTGAAGTATAATATAAATAACCAAAAATGTGTCCATGGTAATTGCTGACAAAGAATTTGCAATAAGCATAAAGGGAAAGGTCTCAGAAATACTACTGAATGCATCACTCTACTAAAATAAGTTTCTCTCCATTTTTCCCTCTTGACTCTGTTCCTGTCAGTTGGCCCAGATGGAGCGCGCCCACAGCCGACTCCAGAGCGAGCTGGAGCACCGTAAAGACAATAACAGGACCCAGGAGGACCTGAAGGAAAACAGGCTTCAGGTGCAGCAGCTGCAGGAGCAGGCTGACCGACTGACTGCTGAACTCAGCAGCCTCCAGACAGCATACACCACTCTGAGGTCGGTGTCAGTCCTTAGTTCATCTGCAGTACACAGAACAACTTAGGCAGCAGCATTTCTGAGACCTGTCCCTTTATGCTACTCACAAAAATAAAAGCTGAATAAAAGAATGAATAAAAAAACAGTCAAGGCATAAAAATACAACTATTTCGATTTTACAGATTCAATCCTGTGGCAGGGGTGGGTATTGTCTTTAAGTATTCTCTGGGCTATCTGCACGTTCACATCACTTTTTATGCCTCAGCGCTGGTGACAGCTAGTGGCCGGCGGCATCATGTTGTCAGGTTGTCTGCCCATCTTTCTGTCCGTCCCATTCTTGTGAACATGATGTCTCAGGAACGCCTTGAGGGGTTTTCTTCAAAATTGGTACAAACATTCACTGGGACTCGGGGATGATCTGATTAGAATTTGGTAATTAAAGGTTGAGGTCACTGTGACCATACATTTTTGGTCTTGTGAATGTAACATCTCAGGAACACCTTGAAGAAATGTCTTCAAATTTGTAACAAACATTCATTTGACTCACTGATGAACTGATCAAGAAGGTCAAAACATGTTTTTGGCCTCTTGAACATCATATCTTAGTTCTGCCTTTAAGGAATTTCTTCAAATTTTTTGACCAGTTGTCACTTGGACTCAAATACTAACTGATTAGAATTTATTGGTCAAAGGTCTCAGTGACCTCAAACAAGTTTGGAAAAATGTATGTAGACTGAAATGGTTGGCAAAGGCTCCCAACCGCAGTGGGGAAGTGATTTGAGAACTGTAGAGCTACTCTAGCTTTATCTTTCTACACTGTTTTTTTTAATAAATGTAAACAGCCGCAACAAACCCACTGCTGAATGACTGTGCATATTTTCTAGGGATGAAATGGTTTCTGAGCGGCGGCAGAGTGCAGAGCTCCAGGCCAAGCTGAGCTCCAGTGTCCAGGAGAAGCTGGCAGCTGAGGGAGAGAGAGAGAGACTGGAGCTCAAGACAGAGCGGCTCAACGAGCAGCTCAAGTGGTATCAAGAGCAGCTTGCCTCCACAAAGGAAGCACTTAGTAGCAGCCAGAAGCTTGAACTGCACACTGGTCATACTGAATCAAGACTAAGTCCAGTGGAGAGGACCAAGGATGAAAGCTTGGATCAGGTAATTGGATTTCAAGTTTTTTTGCTGGGGTATGTGAAATCATCTTGTCCGACTGTTGAGTTAGATAGATGTTCACGAATTATAGAGGAGAGAGGATGTTCTTCAGCATTGCAGCTCAGTTTCAAAGTGATGCTGTCTGGCATTGATGTGTTTGAGTGAGGCACCAGATCCTCAGTGAGAAGACATGTTTCTGTAGAAGATCAGTGTCGGCCTGCTGGTTAGGATCATATAGAATTTATTTATGTGTGTGTGGTGTTTGTAGCTTTCATGTCTGAAACAGGAGCTGAGTCATATGCAGACCAAGCTAGAGGAGGAGCGGCAGCTGGCCCTCCAGCACCAACTGGCCCTGCAGGCTCAAGTCAAAGAAGCCCAGGCACACATCAAAGTACGTATGACACGTAACTGTTTTTTTCCCCTTGTCTTTATTCAAGAGCGGCCGTTCAGTCGATTGATTTAATGCTCAGACTATGTAATGCTCTCACTCAAAACCCTGCACTCGCACTCAAGTAGCCTATGCTTGTGTTTACATTTGCTCTGCTGGTGCACTCAGATATTTTTCTGCTTGGGCAGATTGCCTGTGCCTCAGCTCTTCTTCGTACAGGATCCTTAAAGAAGCAAAGCTAAGGCACCCGCATGAGGACAGGGCAATTTGATTTGTCAGCATTACACTTGATAGTCTATAGGTTGAAGAATTTTTACAAACTTGTTGCACAAAAAAAATCCAAGCGCAGAGGAGAATTCGCAGAGCACACACACGTGTACAGAAGCAGAGTGAGTGGGAGGAGAAGACATAGGAGAAGACATGCATAACACATTCTTATCAAACCCAACAGCCATGCGGTTTCTGTAATTCAATCTGAAAATCTAATTAGAGCAAAGCCTGTTCAGTATTTTGAATTTCATTTGTCTTTTCGTTACCTTACTTTTAAAATCACAGCAGCAACATTATACGATACTGAAGGGAGTATACAACTGACTATTGGTGATTTGGATAAAGTGACATTTATACGAATATATGTTTTAAACATTTCTAGCTTAGCCTGTAATAATAAATTCTGATGGTTATCACAAAAGCTTTAGGCCTCCAAACTGTTAGGATTGGTCAGGATTAAAATTAAAAAAATTACACAGACACTTCAGGTTACCTTTACTGATCTGTAATCCCCTAAACCTTGTCTCTTATTTTCTTCTTCAGTCCCAGGACTCGGTGCTGAACCAGAAGGCAGAGGAGGCCAAACAGATGAAGCAGGACCTGCAGAGGGCCCAGAGCCTGTTCACCTCAGCAGAGAGAGAGCTGCGCTATGAGAAAGAGAGGAACATGGACCTGAAGAGACACAACACCCTGCTGGACCAGGAAAAACTCAAGGTTGGTGTTTAATTACGGTACACATGGAGGTTACCTCTTAATTACTCTCTTAGTTTCTCTCTCACCTCATGATGAATGTAAATGAACATGAAACTGTAACACCAACCTTAACAGAGAAGGAAAGTGCTGCTTAAAAACACTAACTGTTAAAATAGATGTGACAGTGGTGTTAGGCATCTGTTTGTGTTTTCATACTCGTACACACGTGTTCCCTGTAGCTTTCTGCAGAACTGAAGCAGGTCCAGACCAAGCTGGTGCAGGTCGAGCAGACTCTCCACGCTCAGTTAGCTCAGAGTGAACGTCAGCAGCAGAAAATAAGGGAGCTTGAGCTGGAACTGGCACGCAACTCCACAAATCGCAGCGCCACCACCAGTCTGCAGGAGGATCTGCAGGCTGAGAGGGCACGGCTCATTGCTGCTGACAAGAAGGTCAGTGCTGGAGAAAGTAATCAGTGCCCTGTGGTCCCAGGGTTATGGTATCTAGGATATTTTATCATCAAATAGATACAAATTTACCCTCCATCAACCTAATTTAACCACAGGGATCAACTATTCAATCATTTCAATCATTCATTTACAGAAGCCTACATTTTGAGGTGGTTACCAGTCTCTTGGCAGCAAAGGTTGTGACATGGCAAATGTCTCAATAAATATTATTCACTTCTTTGACCTGCATATTTCATGTACATTATCTGCATATGTTGCCCGTAAGTATTATTAATAATTTAATTGATTATTGAGAATAATCAGCAGAAAAGCGAGATAAGGGAGATAATTACCGATGTCATAGAAACATGGCACCTTTTAGAAATAGATGTTTGGAGCTCCTGTTCTGCTTGTCTCTGAGTGAATCGTGTGACTTTGATGCGACGTCAGGTGTTGGAGCTGCAGCAGCAGCTTAAAAATGCCCAGCACCAGCTGCGTGTGGAGGAAGCCCGGGCTGGTGAGAGCAGCCGCCTGGAGCGGGACAGCAGGGACCTGTCTGACACCTTGTCAGCCCTGAGAGCCCAGCAGCATGAGGAGCACATCACCAGGTCACACACACACACACACACACGCTGGTGCTGCTGACACTGCCCACTTTGACTTGGTCCCAGTTGTGGTAATTGTGCCATAATCAACATTGCGACTCTTTCTGTTTGACCCTCAGGAAGCTGGTGGAGCAGCGTGAGGAGGAGCTGCAGCAGCAGGTGCGCTCCTTCCGGCTGAAGGAGGCCTCCCTGACCAGGACCAACACGGAGCTCAGCCACCGTGCCCAGCAACTGGACACCCGTCTGGCCATCCTGGAGGCTGAGCTCAGCAAGGCCAGGGAGGAGGTGAAGAATAGTGTACAGCAGTTTATTAGATATCATTACTATGGCAGTAAAGTGACTTATATTAGCTTGTACTTAGCTATCAGTGTCATTTCAAGTACTTAAGGTTCAACTTTGCGTTCCTCATCTCGCAGATGTTATTTCTTGAGCTATTTTGAAAAGTTTGTTTTCCTTGCACAAGTTCACATCATACCTTAGTAGTAGAATGCATACCCCCAACATTATTATTATCTTATCAGCTACTTTATCACCTTCTCGCATGTTTATCTTTATGAAGATCTTTCATGGAAATGGTTTCAGTGGTTAATGAGTAATCCTGCTGAGAGACAGACAAGCAAACAACCATGAAAATAACCCCCTTTATCTTTATTGTGGTCAGACTGAAGTTCCCACAAACAGAGTAATCAGTTTTATCTTTTCCCCAAACTTGACCTATTCTAGTTAGAATTTTAAATTAAAATGTGTGTGTGATATGTTTCTTTCAGGTGAGAAACAGCCAAAAGTCCAGCCACAGACTGCAGGAGGAGCTGGCGGCCAGTCAGCAGGAGTGTGACAGACTGCAGGGGGATCTGCAGCAGTTTCTCCTCCAACTTGACACGCACGTCAGGTGTGCCACATAAAACACCAGTATTTTCATTGAATGCAATATTATTAATTAAAATCTTGTACTTACTAAATACTTTTTGATCAGCTCAATGCAGTGATAGCATAATCAATAATTAGGACACGAGATGTCTTTCCTGTGATTAAGTTCCTTTGCTCCCTCAACTCAGGAAGTATGACGAAAAGCAGAGTCAGCACAAGACCAAGCTGCGTCAGGCCAAACAGGTCTTTCTCAAGGTGACTGCACAGAGGGACTGCACCATCCAGAGACTGGAGAACGACCTGGTCTTGGCCTCCAGCCTCTCGCACAAGGTCACACGCATCTTGCAGGACGATGTTTGAATCCCACAATATGATATTTGAGCTTGAAAAAATGTTTACTAACATCTCTGTGTTATTATATTTCCTCCTCTGGTCTCCTTGGTGGTGTCTCACAGGAGAAGGAAAGGATCCACACAGTGATGGAGGAAAATGAGAAGCTTTTAGAGGAGAAGAGGGAACTGCTGAGGAAGATAAGTGAGGCAGAAGAAATGGGGAGCAAAGGCATGAGGACCGCCTCGACCGTTCAACACAGGTATGTTCACACTTTGAACACATGACCTGCTGGAACAGCAAGGTGCAATTGAGCCACATATGTCATTGCTGTTGTTGTTTGTCAAAATGGTTAATCATGAGCTCAAATAATGAATAAAGCCAAAATTGTATTTTCATTAAAAAATCAGGAATTCAAGGGGTTCAATCAAAATGATGCTGTTCATTGTCATTAATCCATATGTGTCAGTGAGGACATTAAGAACACACTGGTTCAATAATTTTCATATTAATGTTTTCAAGGGTCAACGTCTTAGAAATGGAAAACAGACAGCTACAGGATCGGACCCTGAAACTCTCCAATCAAGTTAGTTCCCTAGAGCGTGCCTTGAGGAATTCCCAGTCATTCTACAGCCTGGAGGTAAGACTACACATGTTTATCAGTAATTGGGACATGCCACTTCACAGGTGTTTTTTTATTGAAAACAGCTCATATAGCAAGTTTAAAGAAGGTATCTAGCTTTTTCAGTGTTACCATTTCCTCTTGTGTGTTATAAAGTTTTTTGTATGTGTATAAAAGGTCTGGAAAAAAACCCACAGTCTGCAGTGAAGGGAGCTGCTCACCCCCACAGAAAAACTGCCTCGTCAGTAGTCTGACCGATGCCACATTTGCACAATACACACCAAGCGTCTCTTCTGGTATACCCCCCCCCCCCCTAAGAAAAGCTGGTAAAGCCAGAGTGGAGGGCAACATTTTCTGTATGTGCGAGATGCGGTTGACTGATTACAACAGAGTGGACCAACTAGCCAATCAGAGCAGACTGATACAAGAGCTAAAACCGAGCGTTTCAGACAGAGGCTGGAAAGAGGAGCTGCAGCAATGGACAGTAAAGGGAAAGTGATGTGTTATCTGATCATGAGAGCTTGTAAACCTTTTCATGCAACAACCTGAATTTGAGCATATGTCTCTTTAAGGTGAAAATGGTTTTGGCAGATCAGCCACCACAGCTGCAGTTTGTTTTTAGTAGAAAATGGGTGACGTGTGTCTTCTTTGTTTTTAAAATTGTGTGAATGTTTTGATAACGGTGAAAATGCTCAACAGAATGCCAAGAAGGGGCACCCCTCTGAAAGTCTCTGTGACAGCCTCCTACATGCATCTACGCTAAGGTAAAGCAGTTTGCAGTTTTCACTTTAGCTTCATATCGTATGATGATAGTAAATGTATGCTTGTATGTGGCTTTTCCCCCTAAAGTTCTCATATTCGTGTCACCAGTCTGATGTCAGGTTCTTGTGACCCACTGGACATCCTGGACAAAATCTGCCGTGTGAAGGTGGGCGACCGTACGGTGATGGACAGCACTCGAGCTTCTGTCTCCTCACACCAGCTATCGGAGCAGGGTTACCTGAATCTCACCTCCCCTCTGGTTTCTCCGGAGGCCAAAGGCACAGAGGAGAGCTCTGATAATGGTGACAAGGTATGAGACATGGAACAGCAATCCACCAGCAGGAATGTGTGCTGGAGTTCAACGCGTTTTAAAGCACTTCGTATTCGCCATCTACGCTCGACACAAAACTCTTATTAAAAGGGTGAAAAATACGTTGGATGGATTACAATAATAATTTTAAGAGAGTAATAATGAGTTCTGCTCAGGGTGATGTCACTTTTGTATTGCAAAGCAGATTCTTGTTTGACTTGCAAGTGCTGCATTTTGATCCAGGTATGAAAAATGTGTTGTATTGAAAACAATAAGCCTGTGTAAGTGTCAATCAAATGTTCGGTGACATATGTTAAAAGGGAACAGGATGTAATGAGAGATTTATTTTGGAGGCTAGCCGACACAATATGTACGTGTTCATACACCTGGAGAGCTGAGGCCTGTTGTATGAAGCAGGTTCAACATACGCAGGATATGTTTTCATTATCCAGCTTCTCTTTACCCAACATCAGACGTCCTGGGTAACCTGTACTATGAGGCTGGTCATCAACTGTCTCAGTTAACTCTGGGATTTCTTATTCAGCTGTGAGCGTGTTCATGTGGAAGAGGTGGAGTCGTTAATTCGAGTATAAGCCACATAATCAGAACCATGAAGAAAGTCTACAGTTCTGCTGCGGAGCAGGTTAGCATGGTGAGTTAAACCTGATGTTAGCTCGACAACAACAGATCTTGCTGCTTTGTAGTACAGGCCCCAGATCACAATAGTAATTCATAGCAAATCTGGATTCTTGTGTTGTCTCATGGGAAAGATATTGTTTCTTTTAAGCATAGCGATACAGGGTGAGGCACTGTTCTTAACCCTAGTGCAGTGAATGTCAAACACACTTCCCACCTGTGGATTCAGATGAGTTTAAACTGAGCACTTTATAAGAGGTTTGACTTGTGTTTATATTTGAGAAAATGTAGCAGTGGGATGTCAGTGGTACGTCTATTTCCCCCAGTTCAATTTAGTCGGGGCAGTGTTTTCTATGAAAAAATGCCTGTGGTGTTGTATGGTTATGGTTTTACTGTGTCAAAAAAACCTTTAAACACATCAAGTTGTCAATGTTGATTTCAAAGACAACATTGATAATGTCGTGGAACCACTTTGTCTAACATGAGACTGTGTGGTAAACAGTCCCCCTCTATTCTGAGGAGCGTGTCAGCTGCAGCCACTCCAGTATTTACATCGTGCAGCTTGGCTTGTGGTTAAAAAAAAAAAAGACAAACATCCAAAATGTGGGAAAAGCCACAGAAGCTAGTTTGGTGTATTTTGAGCTTCCAGAGCTGTTTTTTTTTTTCTTTTACATTGGTGAACCTCGAAGGTTCTTGTACTTGTACTTTAGCCACAAAGCAGAGAGTTGAGTTTTATACATAAGATTAATTAAATTGAATGAATTACTACTGTTAATGTGTTGAGTTTCAGTAGTGGTTTTACACAGTGGAAGCTTTGTAGTCTTTTTGTTTTCAATGTGCCTGAAATGATGAAGTGTTTAAAACTTTATCGTGCTGCTGCGTTCGTCAACACATTTTATAACACAAGCCTATTACGCGACAGACATGTAAACTGTGATGTAGCTGTGTAAATAAGTTTTTTTTTTAAACAAAATTATTTTCATAAATAAAAGCAAATGAATAAACAGAGTACTTGGTTTTATTTTCCCTTCACCTCGCTCTCTATGATAAAAATAGGATTGTTGGCACGTCTCAGTAAACCCGAGTTATCAGTGACGAATTTGTAACAGTCTGTTTATTAAACAAGGTAAAGATACAAAGCTTTTTTTTCCTTTTTTAAACATTGATAACCTTAGTTTAACTTCTCAGTCTTGGCTGTGCATATTTAGTCGTTCTAGAAACTGTATATGAAACCACAATGCAAGACAGGAAAAAGTGTAATAAATCTACGCAATATCTTTTCATCGAGAACATGGGTTAAACAGTTATCATACAGTTTACAGCTCAGGAACTCCATGCGGAAGGAAAGAAAATAAAAAATGTTTACACGATTGAATACTGCAGAACACATACAGAGTAATGGAAATGGGATGATAGAACAGTTAAGGCTTACATGGAAATAACTGATATAAAACATGAATATTAATAACATACGGGTAGACTAAAATAATTACAGTAAGTCCATACATAAGCTCTTACAAAAACCCAAACAGAGAGTGTTGATGAAAACTTAAAAATAGGTACTATAAATGAGTTACATGTTTTACAGTACAGCAACATGTACATTTTCCCACTATCTCAAAAGAGAGTAAAGTTGAAGAGGCAGGGTCTGTTGTTGGCGTAAATGTCTTGTTTTTCAGGCCAGTGGCTTGAGTAATAGGTTTTTTTTAATTCTTTTGAAAACATACTATATACTGTATATGTATTTTACATTATTCTCAGTTCCATCTCAAACATAACATCTAGCTGTAGCACCTTTTTTTTCTGAAGTGCCCTGAAGAACACAGGGTACCCTATTAGTACCATCCAGAGTTTAAAGTTACAGTAAAAATACAACAAACAATACTGTGTACAATAAAAAGAATACTAAGGAGAACAAAAATAATCAAAAGGAGAAGCATCAACTCCACATAAACTCAAAATATAGGCCTATGGAATATGACTTATACTGCAGTTTATTTTAAAATGGGTAAAGCTTATTAAAGACTTGAAGAAAAAATCTTAACGGGGAGAGTCAGAGTTCATTAACTTCACATTTTGGTCCAGCGGCGACATTTAAAAGTTGACCACTTGATTAAAATTTGATGTGTATTCAAAAGTAGAGCTGGCATCGATGCATGTGCAATGTTTTCAACCTCTGCGACAAAATACTTCTAATACTAAGTAAATAAAAGCTTAACTGAACAGAGAAAGCAAACAAACACTATGAAGAGAGCTGCTGTCTCTTGAAAACAAGGATAACTGTATATGGCACGAGTTCTTAGGACGTGAGGGAGAACGTAATGTAAAAGCAGTGTTTGTCTGATCATGTGTTATGATCACAAAAGGTGCCGTTAAAGTGAAATATGTCAAATATGGAGTGAAAGATATTGGAAATATAAAAAAAAACATTCATCTTTCTTCCCTTCCGTGTTGCTCTATTTTTTTTTCTTCCCTCCCCAAATCAACAGTACACCTTAATACAATCATGAAACGTTGAAATTGTCATCTACCGATTGCCTTTCTTCAAATTTAGACGACCCTGTAAATGCATATTTGCACGAAATGGGAGTAAAAGCAAAGAAGGTAACAGAAAGACTGTTAGTTATACACAGTCGGTACTCTTAGCTGCCACAAGTAATGCCCTTTGGCATTTTCCATCCAACAAGATTGAAACAATTTGAGCCAAAACCACGAGGCCTAAAAGTGCTTTAAGATTATCTTTGGATGTCTCCAGAATACACCCAGCAAACATTTTCTTTTTCTACTTTTGCAATTCTTTATAAGGGCAAATATCATCTGGCAGATTTTAGAAACCCATTTTATGGAAGAGGAAAAAAAACAAACTAACAAAAAAATTTCTGATGGCCAATGCATCCGGCAGTTTACATGACGCTTACGAAAGTGCTTATTAAATCTGACGCAAGACATTCTTTGCCACTCGATCCTCAGGACAACATCTAGCTGTATTTTTACATTCACAAAATAACGCTGTGCTCATTTACGACGGACGGCCTGTGTCTGGACGAATTGAGGCCGTCCGCTCGCTGATTCTAGCGCTGAACGCTCACAGTGCGTTCAGGACGTATTCAGACCTCTTCACTGTTTTCACAGTTTAAGTTGCAGCCTCGAGCTTGTTTAGTTTTAAACTCGTCATCAATCCCCTCATCAATCTGCACTCAACACCCCATCATCACAGAGAAAACAGGATTTGAGAAATGTTTGCACTTGAATTTTTATTCAGGTGCTTCCTCTTTCTTATCTTTCAAATATGTCTTTGCAATCGGTGGTAAATTCCATTGATTAGCTCCACTAACAAGGTTATGTTCTCATGTGTGTTGGTTTGATTATAAGCAGAACACAAAAACTACTCAAAAGATTTCCACAAAACCTGGTGGAAGGACGGGACATGGTTCACTAAAGAACCCATTCAATTTTAGCCTAGATTTGCACAAAGGGGCAGATCTAGGAATTTATTATCTAAAATAAGGCAGTTTCAACATTTATTGTTTTTGTCCATGAGTTACTCATGGATCTTGGTGAAAAAACATCAGGCACATTTTGATATTTATGAGTGTTTGCAGTTTGGTGCAGATCCAAATAAAAAATGTAGTGAATTTAAATGTGGTTGCATACGGGGACTGACAGAGGTATGTACTCTAGTTACCTGTCAAGGAGATAATGTTTTTGTCTTCATTTGTTTATTTATTTGTTTTTTAGTTTGCACGATTATGCAAAAAAGCTAATCAAACATTTTCCGTGAAATTGTGTGGAGGGGTGGAGCAAGATCTAAAGAAGAACCTTTTCAGTTTTGGGGCAGATACCTGATTCTTTTTGGCTCTTGAAGAAAAAAGAAAAGATTTTTTTGGGGACTGATATTTATGAGTGTGAGCAATACTTGAGGTAACTCCAATTCAAATCTTCCACTTTGGCTTTGTCATAATGTGGCACAGAGACTGAGTGTAGATTGATGAGGGAGAAACTGAATTTAAATGATTAGTTGGACCGATTACAACATTAACATAGTTGTAACGTGAAAAAAAGTGTATAGGTCTGAATGGTTGTCAGCTGTCATAATGCTAATGTAAGCCTTATGTAGATGGCCGTGGGTGCAGGGCCTCACAAGCTCCAGCCGAACATAGACTCCGAATCCGACCTGCTGCCGAGCGGCCGGGGGGGGGGGCTCAGATGAGGGAGATCCGTATGGGGATGTTTGGGGACTCGGTCCGCTGGGGCGACTGGTGGCTCACTAGGTGCTCCACCACCGTGTGTTTAGACATGTGCTTCATAAGGTAGGTCTCCTGCAAAGACGTGGAAACACAGCAAATGACAAAAATTACGTTTGACCCTTTTTCATTTCCTCGTCCATCAGCTGTCACATGTCTCATCTACTGTGTAAAATATGACAGAAACAAACAGCATATGAGGAACACCATTATATTATATATTATATTATATGTGGAGTCAGAGAGGGGAGCACAACATCCTTAAGAGATTTTAAGGACATTGTGCCGGCTGCGTTGGCTTTGTAGTTGTGTCCTGTAAAAGTAAAGCCAAAGACAAAATCTGA